TATGTGGTCTACTGGTCATGAGTTTTCATATTGCAGAGTAATAGACAGTAGTGGGGTTGGGGCAGGGGGCAGAAGAGATACTGGCTTTTCTGTCAGTAAATTTTTTGAAATCCAGGCACAGCACATGATACTCATGGCACTGCATTTCAACCCAGAAACGCAGAATGCTGAGCTTACCAGCAATTGCAATTGCTATACCAGTACTGTCTTTCCTAAAGGTAATTATATTACTATTCTCAAAGACCTATTGAGAAATTAGTGCAATGCTACATGTAAACATGAATGCACGTGTCTCCCTATTGGGACGACTCTAAAATCTTACCTGGTATAGGCTTAACTGGTGTGGAACTAATCTCTTATGCAGCGCAAGAATCCCCCTCCTCACCGCTGCTGAATTACCAACCCCTATTAGTTATGAAAGGCAGCGCTGCTCAAAGTGTAGAGCCCTCTTCTGCAGTACTAGGGTGGTACTGCCTTAAATTTGGATGCACAGACCTGCACTGGCTTAACACCAGCTGTATACAGGTGTGGAGGACTACTTTAAATGCAAGACTCTATTTACCAAGTAACCATCTTGCCCTCTTCACTCCTCCAGCACTCTTTACTTTACCTGCACACCCGCAGTTTTCATTTCCATCAAGGTACAAATAGAGAACACCTTCAAGCCTTGAAAACCTGCTTCCTATAAGCTTTCCCCTGCCTTTGCTGTCAAGGAACACCAGTCTCCCTCATTAACAGCAACTTTTTGAGACCTGTCAGAAAGCTAGTCCTTAATCCATCTAAGGCAGACCACACTGATACAGGAGGGGGCTATTTTTAAACAACAGTGTCCTGCCTAAGTCAATCTCCTGATGACATTTGAGTATGATCCAGCACAAGAAATTCATCATGTCATAGAAAAAGCAGGAATGGTCTTTGACAGAAGTATCTTTGATGTGGCTACTTGTATGTCAGTGATTACTTTTCTTTAATTGAGGTACTGGTTCTCTGAGCTGGGCACTAGTAAGCAGTGACCATCATTATTGTTGGTTTTATCTGCTAAGGAATCAGTATAGTACCTCTCCACTTGAAACCCTAGGCTGGACATCTCTTGAACCTGGAAACCTTCTCCCAACTCCTGTGCTGGTTGTTGCTTTATTTGATGGTTTCTCCTCAGTGCTGTCCCTCAATAATTGCCTTTAATTCACCTCATGTATAGATAGTGCATGTTCACTGCATCATATGTGCATCTGTACCCCAGATGCACCAATACAGACGCAACAATCCCACTTCTCAGATTTATGACTATTAGATAAGCGATGGAAAATATTTACGTTTCATAAACGCTTGCCTGTGTTTAGATCACTATCTCTGCAGTAAGAGAGAATGGGCCATATAATAAATTGTGGAGCCCTGTAGTTTATTTATCTCAAATGAGATAAATTAGCTCAAGTGTCCCCATCAAGCCTGTTTCCTCTAGGACTATTTGCATTCCAAACTTCTAAGCAACTCGCAGCAGGCATATTTTCTAAAGCCAAAAATTGTTTCCTTTTTCACCCAAATTTTTACCCATCAATCCACTTCAGGAAAAGAACAGATGCAAACACTAAGTGTTCTATATAAGAATAGGCCCAGAGAGAAGAGGGCTTCAGACTTCCTCTTTTAACCTCTCCTTTGCCTCCTGATGGCATCTTCCCACAGCATTAGGAGTGGGCCCTACTTGCTTCCACTGGTGGTAGAGCAGCAGATGGATGCTGTGGTGATTTAGGGTCGGGCCCAAGCAGATGTTAAGAGCAGTGTCTCATGGCACAAAAATTCACCCATATCTGTAGCACGCATGATACCCAAGTGGGGAGATGTGATGTGGTCTCTGCTCAAGGAAGGGTCAGAAAACCAGTTGCTCCTGGTCATCATAGGATCTCTCCAGGACACAGAGTTTATGTTTCCCTCCCAAGCAGAGAGAACTGGTTTCTCTTTTCAGTAGTTGTCTCACATCTCCTTACTTCTCAAACCAGATTTGCACAATGCTTTGTCTTGCTACGGTCAGTGTGTGCATTACAGAGACTTCAGAAAGATTTGGAAATCACAGCTTAAGCATGTCAATAGCAATAAATTCATATACACTTGAAGCTTCTCTGTTTTTAAAATCACACATTCTATTTTTTAAGACTATTTTGGTATTTATTGCCCTGATAAACCATAGCATCCAAGTACTGCTTAATGTTGCATGCATCCCTAACAACTCTCTAGGACAAGGGCAAAGTCCATTATTCAGATTTTACAGATAGAAGATGAATGCACAGAGAGGCTTGCTGCAGAGTACTGGCAGAGTACTTGCTGCAGACAAAACAAGTGGCTAACTCACGTTCACTGAGGTTTATATTAATGTCCTAACAGTAAACTCCTTCTTTTCCTCTTTCTTTGACACTTGCCTTTGTGCCAGAGAGGCATATATTAAAACTGTGATAAGTCAGAGTAACAAAATCAAGTACAAAATAAAACTCTTCAAAAGCAGCTTTCTGGTATAAAAATTTTTATTGCCATGTTTAGATTTGTTTTGCTTAAATATTCAGTTGATGCATACTTAAAATTTACTTTGCACATCTGCCTTGCAATTTCATTTGCCGTGGTGATTATGGAAGACAATGTACAGGCAAGAGTGTAGACAACCCAGTGGTAAGTGGATTTCTTCCTATAAGTCTAGTATGCAACCAGAGCGATCAAAGAATGCTGGAGTAAGCTTCTGCTCATCTCAGTGAGATACTGCATCTCGTTAAAACAGAGGAAACACCTAGTTGAACTGAAATGCCATGTCTTTCTTCTTCTGAGAAAGGCCATACGACATTTGAGGACTGACCTTCGTTTAGCTGACTGGTGGCAGAAGAGAAATGCCTAACTTGTGTCACGTCACTCATTCTGATGGAGCAAAGCTTATGCTAGAAATAAACTTCTCTGCATTGTAACAAGCATGTGCAGCAGCCCAAGCACAGGAGAAAAGTTACCCAACAAGCTTATATGGAAAACCTGTTGCTCTGCAGAATGGTAGGCAAACAAGTCAGTTCAGGAACCCATATTAAAGCTTAAAATAAGGCTGAATATTTTTGATGCTGAAGTAAAATAATTTCAATTTAATTAACTGCACACATTGCTACACAGTGTTCTTTTTATTGCCAGAAATAGAAACCAAAAGGAAATACATATAGAAAATGAAGATCCAGATTCTCAAGGTCTTCTCTTATACCAGCATAAACTTACTGTAAAAGCTGCAATACACTAAGTGATAATTCTAAATCCATAATGGCCTCATTGGTGTGAAATGTAAAACACTAAGAAGCAGAGCACTTTATCTATTTTGGCGAAAGGTTTAAGGATACCACGTGGAAATGGGTGTGGCTTGGTGTTCTGTTATATAGCACTCAAAAGAAACAACAATAATGTAAAGCTTTTTTTTTTTTTTAATGATGTGGAGACAGAAGTTTTTTAGAGCTATGCACAGCAGCAATGCATGGAACAGCACTGCAGTACAGTTCAGCCATAAAGGGGTCCCAAATCCCAATTAGAGGTGAGGCTTCCTTCTGGGGGAACATTCCTGGTGTTTCCATTTGGAGATATGTCAGTGCCTATTCTGACAGAAAACAGTGACCCATCTTAAAAATATGCATCTACTTTTTTCTACCTGAAAATTAAATGGTTGTAGCTTCCCCCCTCCCGATATGAAAAAATATCATTTGCTCTTTCACAGGAAGTATTTTAGAGAGGAAAAAAACCCCACAAACTATTAGTTTTAAATCTGGTTATTTTAAATCTCCATGGAACTATTAGAAGAATAGTAGACATCAAGCAAATAGCTTGGAACAGCAGCAGCAGCAGCAACAGCAGAAACAGCAGCAGCAGAAATAGCAGCAGGAGTAGCAGCAGCCATTCCTCTTACACTACAAAGGAAATCTGTAACCTGTGCTAGCTATAGAAAAATGTAGCATCTGTTGATCACTGGGGGGACCCGGGAAGGGAATGTGAAACCCATGCGGGCTTTGCCATCTTCAGTTTCCCTTCAGACCTCCAGGTGCGCAGTCCCCGGCACGGACCGTGCCATCCGTCTGGGACTGGCACAGCTGCATCCACATCTCTGCCATGGGGAAGAAGAAGAGCTGGGTGTCACTCTAACAAGGGCAGGCTGTATGGGGCTGTCAGACTGGCAGCGCCCACAGAAACACAGGCCTTTTGACATGGTGCCTGTGATATGCTACAAGATGAGCTGGCAATTTCTGCGGGCCAGGATGACGGTAGATTCTGAACACCCAGGCCCAATCCTCATCAGGTATCAGTGCCCACATTTCTCAGAGGTCTGCACCACCTGATCTCATGGCGCACTCCAGAGTACTGTACTAAATCTGAAAACAAAAGTTAAAACTAAAATGGGGCTAAATTCTGCCTAGATTTTGTCCCTGGCAGGATGCAACTAAGAAGAGAATTTGTCTGAAGGCACGTGCTCAGCTAGGGCGCTGAGGTGACAGTTTAACTAGTAGATCAAATAATTACACAATTTTGATAATGCAGTGTCCGTGTTTGATTGTCTTAAAATTAATAATATCACAATTATTTTCTACAGTAAAAGCCACCCTTCAGCAGATCCTTTTGCTTAACTTCTTAATCAGCTCAGCAAAAGCTCACACTGTGAGAAAATACATTTTCAGCAGAGTACTGATTTTCTCCCGCAATCTCCCTTCCTCCCCATTTACTCCTTCTTTTCTTCTCCATCATCAATCTTTTAAGCATGCCACTGTGCATTCCCATTTTTCTTTCTGCACGTGTCAGCTCAACGCTGCTCCTCAGAGCCCTCTTTCTCCGCCAAATCCCGCAAAGCAGACGTTAACCACTCATTTACCGAACAGGGAACTCCACACACAACTTCTCAAAAGCCAGGCTCTCCGGGTGCTTCCCAGCCACTGCGCTGGAATACCGCCTTCCCTCCACAACCCCAGGCTATGGACAAAAGAGCAAGTAAAATGAAACTGACTTACTGCGATGGCTTGGAGCCTTTCCTTGTGCAACTCTGCTTCCGCCATCCTGGAGAGAAGGACACGGGAGGAGAGAGAGGGCGACGGGTGGGGGAAAAAAACAGGAGGAACGAAAAGGCGAGCAAAACCAAAACGGAGCACACACTGCGGTCACCGGGTGGGAACTGGAGTAATTGCAAAGAAAGCCGAGCTCCTGTGTAGCAGTCAGACACTTTTGGAGGCACTGCAGCCTGGCTCACGGTAAGATCATTTTAGTCACTGGACCAGTGCCTGCCTCGCTGCCTGTCTCCCAGCTGTATTGCTAAGTGCATTTCATCAATGCTTCTGTGTGCTGGTGCTGTCACACAAACCATGTATGCACTCTCCAAGCAGCTGAGCAGAGGGATAGCTCGCATGGCTATAATTTTTTGCGTTGACGTCTCAGCTCATTTGCTCCTCCTATGGGGTGCTGGGTCACAACAGGAGCTCGACATCAGTAGCGTGCACAGTAATCCAAACCTGGCTGACTGCAGCAGAGGAGGCAGACAGCTGTGCCACAGCATGTCCTCAGCGAGCAGCACAGCGGGGAGGGAAGGACGGTGGCACATGGCGCAGTGAGAGGGAGCTGCGGCAGGCAGGCAGGCAGGCAGGCAGGCAGGCAGGCAGGCGGTGGCTGCAGCCCCAGGCTAAAGCAGGTTTGGCGAAGGGAAAGGACAGGGTGGCAGCAGGAGGGAGAACATGGACTCTGGGGGAACCGCACAGCCGGCTGTGAGTGCAGCGGTAACACGGCACTCGGCAAAAGACTTCTGCTCCGGGGCAGCCCTTAAGAGAAGCAACGAAGAGCATGTGTATGGAAAGGAAGACGTAAGGTGTCCACACACCCTGCATTGAACGTGCATTGCAGGTTAAAGCACTGCACTGACATCAGATATTCAAAAGTGACAAAGCTGTGTACGCAAACAACCTGACTGAAGACCCCGGTGTTACACATAGAGGAGGAGGCAGGTGAGGAAGGAAGGGCGTGTCTGAGCCAGTATCATGAGAGTAACGCTTGATTTCAACGGTGGCTTTAGTTTTGCATATAACCTTCTCACATTTTTATTTTTATTTCTATGATCTTCCATTTGCTTTCTTTTCTTCTAGACAGCAAAGAAGGCCCCCACTCTCTCCCAGTCCAGTCCTATAGGGTGCTGCTGCACAGATGAGATGGGGCTGGCACAGCGGAGGGGTGCCTCTGAGCCAGGGCAGCCACTCCAATGGATGGAGGGCTGGTGAGGGCTAACTGTGGCATCCTGGAGTTGTCCTGCCATGAGGAGCAGAAGTGCATTTTGCAGCATATAAATTTGATGTAACAACCTCATGCTGATAAAGACAGGAAAACTCCATCATTTTGGAGAAAAGCAGTCTGGAAGTCACCCTGCTTCCCATGTGCCTGCCCTTTCAAGTGCTACCCATCCTGGCATTTTACCTTTACACATCACAGTCTTCTCTCCCAGACATTCTCCACCTCCATCCCACTTCCAGCTCCAGGCTGCTTTTCAGCACTGTTTTTTCAAGTGTTTTCACCTCCTGGTCCTGTTTCCCTTACTGGTGCACAGCCTCCTTGTCTTGTGACAGGATGTCAAAGTGACTTCTTGCTTAGCTTTACCTCTGCAAAAAAAGTCCTTTGTTGTACAGAAAACTCAGAGAACATTATATAATTCCAGTAGTCTCTGTGGCCAAAAGGCAAGGTTTTATTGCCGTATCCCAAGTGAGGCAGTTTCTGTAAGTGGGTGTTGGGCTCACGGCTAAGCAAAATGCAGAAATTGCAGCAAGATACTGGGACACTCTTTCAGTCTTCCAACTTTAAACAATTTGTTGCACAGCATTTGTCTTGTAGTTTATTCGGTCCCTGTCAGCTTATTATTTTTCTTCAAAACATCTTTTTTTTTTTTCTTTCTGTTTTCCACTACCATTTTAAAGGTCCATGCATTGCTACTTGTATTACTACAGCTGGTTTTGAAATATCCCATCACACAGGACCCAGACATGTGCTCTGAGAACATATATGGGCAACTCCTACTAAGGCTTGATAGCTATGCAATTAAGTCCCTTCAATACCCTTCTCATGTTTTGCTGCTAAGCCTTGCCCAGGGGAGGAATTCTGCTACAGTCTATATCCGACAAAGACAAGGGTTATGCCCCAGTGCTTACTGGAGCTGGAATGGGCAGCATATTCACTCCACGACCTGTAGTCACATTACATGCTGCCAAAGTGGTGTGTGATATGCATCACATTAGGCCATCCCCTCTTTCCCTCCGTATGACATCCACTCAGGAAAGCATTTAAACATATATTTGAGCAATGTAGTTGTATATAAAAATGGATGTGAGCATCTCAATTATGACACAAAACCTTGCAACAGTTCGTGAAGTACAGTAACAGCAGCTGAGCTGGACACTGTATTAGCCCCATGTTTATCCTCTCTCCAGTTTAACTGCAGTGCTTGTTACCAGAATGGATAAGCAGGCTGCATCCTAGTGAATGCTGCAGCGTTCCTGGTCCCAGTGAAACATTATGCGGGGCTGTGCACCCACCCCTTCCAGTTTGGTTTTCCAAGGAAACATGAATCAGCTGTGCTGTAGTAGTCCACTCTGCTGGCTCTTTATGACTGTACAGGAATGACAGAGAGTGCATCAGTAGCAGACTAGTTTCTTGCTGTTGACTAGCAATGAGAAAAGGCTGAAAGTCAGGTAATAGTAATAGCCTCTGGTTTCCCTATAGTGTTTTTCTCTCGTATGGCTTGAAGCCTGGGATTCAGTGAAGTGGAAATTCTTTACCTAGGTAGTTCACAGAGCATACCCAGGTGAAATGACCTCTATGAGGTGACTCACTACACCATGAAGAAGACCATAGGGGACAACCCCTATGGACATTTAAAACAACCAGTCCATTTTTACACATTTTTTCATCCATCTTGGTTAAGATTTTTGTTTCCAGTATGTTTTGCTATGTCGTTAAGGAACTTTAATTTTAAAAAGTTGTTTAAGGTCTATAGGTTTTTTTAGTTTGTTTTGTTTTACTTTTAGGGCAGGAGAGCAGGGTGATATTTCCAAATCTTGAAGATACTGGGAAAACAAGAGAGGATGGAGTGTGTAGGGAGGAACAAGAAGATTCTAGAAGAGTAGGTGAGAGAAAAGTATTTTAATATTTCAGTAACTAAAAATTAAGAAGATAGGAAAAATGTTCTCCATTATTTTTTCAAATATCAGTTAAAAAGCCATTAATAATGTGTGAATTCCATCCCATTTTTCCATGCAAAACAGATTTTTATTTTCATTTCTTTGGAAAAGAGTGTAAGAAACAATCTGTAGTCCCTGTTCAATGCTGGAGAAGATGCTGAAAGCACTCTAAGATATGTGTAGCCCCAACTTTAAATGAGACAGCTTAGTTATAAGGTAGAAATCAGGTTCTTGTCCTTGCCATGGAGCTGAGCTAGATTAGGAAAGGTTTTATTTAAATCACCTGTGTTTGTTTTTTGACAAGCCAACCAGGTTGTTTTTTTGCCATTACCTTGCGTACTATTAGAACCCTTGTGCATGATGCCCGGCATCTTGTCCTTAGGAAACCTTTGGCTTCCCATCCTCCTGGCTGTTGGTAGAGCTGATTCAGTCTAAGAAACCAGACTTTGTCATGAAGACTGCATAAGGAAGGCACACATATACACATGAAGGTCAGGATTAGCACTTCAGCCATAGCAAATGCATCAACATATTCGTGTGGTGACAAGTTAGTGGTTGGATCCTGGCAGTGGCTGTCAAGAAAACACAGAGGAGGAGGGAAAATAGGGTCACATTTGCATTTCAGATTGTTTGAGAGGAGATACTTCTGGCTCTTAAAATTACCACATGCCAACACTCTGCAGACATTGCTTTTGCATCCTTAATATTGTCAAGCATTCCTGCCTAGGCCTGTTGGAACCATAGCTATTTTCATGTGAGTTGAAATTCTGAGGTTTGATTAACGTACTCTTTATCTTCCTTACCAGATTCTGGCTATATTAAAATAGGCCAGGAATTAAAAGTTCATCTAAACTTTTAGATTCCTGAGCTCATCACCCATGCTCATTTTTTGTACTCTCTCAAACACCATGCTTCATACAACATAGCCCTTGAAATTTTTGGCAGTGGCACTGCCTGACATTTTCAGGAGAGGCTACTCCATTTGCAGTTTTAATTGCAGCTCTTAGCTTCACTGGACAAAAGTCTCTTCCTGTTCTCTCTCCTGTACCCAGGCTGCTTGCTGGTGAAGTACAGTGTCCACAACATCAGGGATTGTGCTTGGACCTCTTGGAAGCTCACAGTGTGAATTGCACCTGAGGGACCCCCATCCCAGTGAGACGTCATCCCAGGACAGTTATCCTTATCCTGCTGGGACATGTTAATCCAGTAAGTGGTGGCTGCATGATGGGGGCTGTGTGTCCAAGTCCTTCACAGTCTGTGTTGCTGGTGGTGAGGGTGCCCAATCTATTGTCACTCATGCAATGGTGAAGGTGAGAAGTGGCTGAACACCCAAACATGTACCCTCACCCCTCTGCTGTGGGGTGGCAGATGCTACCACCAGTACACTTCCTTCATTCTCCACTCCTCCTTGCATGGGTTTTCATGGGCACAGTCCCTGGGCAGTCTGGGTTGGTGGGACAACCAGGCTGTGCAACAGGACAAAGAAAGACTAGAAAATCTGCCCTCTATCTCCCACAGCATTTCACACCTGGAAAATGCAGGTAGTGAAACCATAAAGCATATGACTAAGTGGAACAGGAGGGCACTGGCAATCTAGACCTCTGATATCAATTCTATAAGTGTAGAAGATCATGGTTTCTTTATAGCTAAAAACCCTTCACATCAAACTTGGTGTAACTGAAGTTTTCTCTTCTCCCCTTTTTCTGTGGTTTTTATTTTGTTTTGTTTTGTTTTGTTTTTCTGTTTGCTCCTTGCTATCAAGACATGGAGTTGAAGCATGCACAGCAGGAGATGGCATTGTTTAAGAAATAAAAAGCTAGAGCACAGGACTTTGTTGTAAACCTTCCCAAGACAGCAGGCTTATGAATAGGTAAGCCATAATTTATTAATAAGAAGTGCGGTCTATTACATTTTTCCATGTTTGCTTGGTTTCATTCTACAGCCATGGGGCAGTTGCACTGAGAAGTCCTCTGACTAGAGGGGTCTCCACACAGTCGTGACGGCTGCAGGACACCTCCTCTGAACAGACCACAGATACTGTGTGTGGTGCAGGCCCTCAGGAGACTCCACAGACCAGAAATCTCCAGGCCAAATGATGTCTGTTGTCCACAAACAGTTGCTTGTAGGTGATTCAGCTGGGATAAGGGACAAGAAGCAATTGTTCTCCTGAGATCTGTAGTCCTGCCAGCTCCACTACCGTGCTAAAACAGCCTCATGTTAGCCTAAGAGTTATTTAGCTTGCAGTAACTTGTCAGTTAGTAATGTCCTTGGCAGTAACTAATGAAACAAGCCCCAGAGCACCCCCTGCCAAAGCCTCCAGTAAAGCTGGAGATGCTTTTTGCAGTGACTTTCCTTGAAGCAGGGACGAAAAAATTATGTAGGCACTTCACATTTCTGCCAGGCTAGTCTCCTAATAAGTTGGGCTT